TGATTTCACCTATCCCTTCAAAAATTGTGGTTGGGGGAGATGGGAGACTGAGGGAGGAGGTAAAAGATTTTATTACATATATATTTTTAAGCTTTATTGAAGCATAATCTATGTCATAAAATTCACCTATTTTACACGTAGAATTCATTAAGTTTTAGTAACTTTGTAGAGTTGTGCAACAATCACTACAATCCAGTTTTAGAATGTTTCCACTGCTCCCAAAAGTTCCCCCAAGTACATTTATAGTTATGTATACCTATTTGGGCTGTTTAAATGTTTAATATATTTATTTACTATGTGCACATATCACCTACTTAAATCCAAGAACAAAACTCCACACCAGGGCTGGTGGACAAGCATGGTGCGGGAAAAAGAGCACAGGAGGATCACTTAATGGTTCTGCGCATCAGTTTTCCTCATCCATAAAATGATAAGATTATCTCAAAGGTCCAGTTCGATTCTAAAATGCAGTAAGTCTAGGTTTCCTCCTGGGAGTCATTTTGTCCATAGATCCCCAGAGGATAACAAGCTCCAGCTATTTCTTTCGTAAGAGATCTGTGGCTTAACTGCTATAAAAAGTGGAAACTATATGGTCCAGATCTCCCAGAGAACATGGGAAACACATTTTACCTTGCTTTACTTCTTCTGAGGCCATGGAATCCCCCACCTCGAAATCTGAGCTGATTCTCTTCCTGAGGAAGCGCAGATACAGCTCACTGCGGGCATTCATCAGGGTGACCTCAGTCAGGATGGGATCTAGTTCCCTGAGACGTAAGAAGCAGAAGGACTAAGCAGGAGTACACAGGATTTCTTCAGATACAACAGCTACAGGGCAAACAGTTCCAACTCCCCCTCACCACTGGGCCCAGGTGGTCAATCCTGGGTCTGCTGGCCCAATTATAAACAGAGGCAGCTGTCAATCATATTTTCTATGTACGTTTCACCTGAATCATTCACCTCCTAAAATCTCACCAGAGCTAACCAAGAGGTTGGAGGAGATGTGTTTTCTTTCACACGGGGCATAGATAATTTTAATTCAAACCACAAAAAAGCTAAAGATGGAAACAAAATAACATTTAGAAGTGTTGTCACCTTAAAAAGTCTTGGCTTTGGTTTATTTAGATCTCTAATTTACAGTGAATAAAGGAAACACTGGGCTCTAAAGAGTAGGCAATACCACCTTACATTCATATAATCCAGTGGTTTGCTGCCAGGGCTTGGATAGTAGAGTCAACTGCGGTACCGATACCCAGGTGCCACAGTTCTGTGTACTAGGAACAGTGCTTTTCAATTACTTATGCGCACAAAAATCACCTTAGCATCTAGTTAAAATACAGATACTAACTCCGTACGTCAGGGGTGGGCCTGAGATTCTACATTTCTAACAAGTTCTCAGGTGCCAATACTGCTACCACACTTTCGGTAGCAAGGTTCTAGGATTCAGAATTTCCAGTTCAGCTACTCAGGAACTCACAGAACCAACACTTCTATTTTATGGAGTGGTGGGATGGGAGAAAAGCCAGAGACAAATACTACTAACATATCTGTGTGACCTTGGATAATTCCATTTCCTCATCTACATAACAAGGGGGCTGGATGGATGAGCTCTAGGGACTTTTTCTAGTATTAAAATTCTGCCATCTATTCGTAAGGAAAAAAATGACCATTGACCTTCGCCTTACATCATACCCCAAAATTAACTCGAATGGATCAAAGACCTAATGTAAAACCTAAGTATAACACTTCTAAAAGAAAACATAAGAAAAAAGACTGCAAACTTGGAATAGGCAAAGGTTTTTAAGAACACAAAAAGCATAAACCATAAAAGAAAAAAACTGATTAATTGGATTTCATTACATTTAAAAACTTCTGCTCTTCAAAAGCTACTATTAATCAGTACAATCTCCACCAAAATTCCAGTTGACTTCTCTGCAGAAACTGATAAACTGATCTTAAAATTCACATGGAAATTCAAGGGACTCAGAATAGCCAAAACAATTCTGAAAAAGAAAAACAAAGTTGGAGGACTCACACTTCCTGATTTGACTCTCTTCTTTCTCCTTCCCCATAGGTAACTACTACTCTCCTAAAATTTAAATTTTTACTTTTTATAGTAAAAATAATATATGTTGTTAAAAGAAAATCCAAACATAAAAATATATTCATTCAATCAACAGAATTTTACTGAGTACATGTTATGTGTCAGATACTGGTTGTTGGTACTGGATACTGGGGATATGGCAGCAAGCAAATCATTTAATCCAGGGTAAAAATTTTGTTGACTGAGTATATTTTAATAATGTTTGGATTTTCTTTTAACAACCTATACCTCTGGGGGAAGGGGAGGAGGAGGAGAGTCAATCTGTGGATTTCAGAAATATTGGTAATGATCTATTTCTTAAATAGCTGGTTAGTACAGTGATTGTTTTATTCTCTGCAAACCACACATGCATTATATATATTCTATTATAAGCATGATATATTACAATAAAAAAAAATCAATAAAATATTTTAAAAACATAGACCATAGGGTAACAGAGTAGGCTCTAAATCATACATGATTACCAACTCAAACTCCTATGAGCTGAAGAAAAGAGAATTATTACCTCGGCTCAATTTTTTCTGTTACAGAATTTCTCATCAAGTTGTTTTGGACATGCCGGAACTGCAATACATAACAGAAATGAGAATGCTGCCCCCTAGCCCTCTTGCTAGTCATTCCAAACTTTTGGCATATAAGAATATTTAGGCTTAGTGTGCTTACCCGGCTTCCGTTTCCTGCAAGCCAAAGGCAGACTTTCAGGATGATGGGCCAACAATTTACTTTTGGTTTAGATTCTAATGCTCATCTCCCTAGTGCACTTAAAAGTGATGCTAATGGTGTTCCAATGGACTACTGTCTAGAATCTCCTAGTCTAGAGTTCTAGAAATAAAATTGTATGGGGTCACTCCTATTTCTATTCCTACTCTTACTTTCTCTGATCGAAGGAATGAGGAAATAAAGTTCTGTAAAAGCAAACATTATTGTAAGCACTTAAGGAACTAAATGGAAATTTGAAACAAATTAAAAAGACAAACAAAAAAACCCAGTTGCCTTGAAGTCAATTCCGACTCATGGCAACCCCATGTGTGTTAAAGTAGAACTGTGCTCCGTAGGGTTTTCAATGGCTGATTTTTCAGCAGTTGATTGTCAGGCCTTTCTTCTGAGGTGACTCCTGAGACAAATTAAACCCAAAAAACCAAACCCACTGCCATCGAGTTGATTCCAACTCATAGCAACCCTATAGGACAGAGTGGAATTGCCCCATAGGGTTTCCAATGCTGTAAATCTTTACAGAAGCAGACTACCACATCTTTCTCCCTCGGAGTGGCTGGTGGATTAGAACCTCTGACCTCTCAGTTAGCAGCCAAGTGATTTAACCACTGCACCACCAGGGCTCCTTGAGAGAAATTACTTGACATTTAATAGGACATTAAGAAATACAATTCTTTATTATATCACCAGAGGGCACTGTTGCACATTCTGTGATAGAGAATTGGTCAAACATCTGTGTTCCTTTCAAGAAGCCCTTCCTATTTCCTTCTCAATCTTGTACTGAGGTCATTGTCATCTCATCAATAGCTCAAGTCCAAAGTAAACTGGCGATGGGCAAGGTGCAGGCCAGTTTGCATTTTATTTTTCTCCTGTCCGCACCTTTTTCCACTTTTTAAATTTTCAGTTTACTCTGTTCAACGTTCCTGGATAAAGCTGCTTCCAAGCCCTTTGTAGCTCTCCCAGCTCACCTGCTGGTGGTAGTCTCTCTGCTTGATGAACTTGTCCACCACCTTCTCCACCTGTCTGTCACATTCTACCTGCAGATATTTTATCAGGGTATAAAGTCTCCCTGGCCCATAGTAAGTCTCCACTATCGGTTGGTGGGTTTCCACAATGCGGGCAATCCCTAGAAGAGAGAAAGTGAGTGCACTGGATTCCAAATAGTCTTCCCACAAAATAAACTCTTTTCTTTCATCCAGGACTAACCCAGGGTTCAACCGTTTTGGTTGCTTCACCTCCCGAAAAGAATACAAATCTAGTCAGTTATGTAGATTTGTTAAGTACTTAAGTAGATTTGTTTGTTAAATATGCACAGTACTTGGTATTACAGCAGGCATTTGATAAATGATATTGACACTGTTTTCTTCAGGAGCATCTTTGGAAATCGGTGTCACCCTCTTTCCAGTTACTGATCTCAAAAAAACCAAACCAGTTGCGTCAAGTCAATTCTGACTCATAGCGACCCAACAGGACAGAGTAGAACTGCCACTTCCTAATAGGGTTTCTAAGGCTGTAATCTTTATGGAAGCCGGCTGCCATATCTTTCTCCCACAGAGTGGCTGGTGGGTTTGAACCACTAACCTTTCGGTTAAAAGGAGAGTGCTTTAACCACTATGGCACCAGGGCTCCTCTTAGAGTCTGGTCTTAACAGCTAGAGAGGATCAAAACAGCTGACCACTAGTTACCAGTTGCTGCGGTTGATTCTGACTCATGGAGACCCCATGTGGGTGAGAGTAGAACTGTGCTGCATAGGGTTTTCTTTTTCCTTTTTTTTAAATTTCATTTATTTTGTTGTTGTTGAGAATATACACAGCAGAACACACCCATTCGACAGTTTCTACATGTACCATTTAGTGACACTGATTACATTCTTTGAGTTGTGCAACGATTCTCAGTCACCCTTTCTGAGTTGTTCCTCCCTCATTAACATAAACTCACTGCCCTCTGAGGCTCTTATCTAATCTTTCCAGTTGCTGTTGTCAATTTGATCCCATACAGATAGTTCTTAAAAGAGCATAATGCTCAAGGCAGACATTTTTTTTACTAGTTAAGCTAAACTATTGCTCGGTTTTAAGACGACTTCAGGGGATATTTTTAAAGTTTAAAGATTATCTCAGGGCAATAGTTTCAGGGGTTGATTCACCCCCCATGGCTCCAGAAAGTTTAGAGTCCATGAGAATTTGAAATTCTGTTGTGTATTTCCCCACTTTTGATCAGGATTCTTGTATGGAATCTTTGATCAAAATGTTCAGTAATGGTAGCTGGGCACCATCCAGTTCTTCTGGTCTTATGGCAAAGGAGGCAGTTGTTTATGGAGGGAATTAGCCACACATTCATATCCTCCTCCTATTCCTGACTCTCCTTCTTCCCCTGTTGCTCCAGGGGAATAGAGACCAATTGTTGTGCCTTGGATAGCCACTTGCAAGCTTTTAAGACCCCAGGCACTACACAATGAACTAGGAGGTAGAACAGAAGCACTAACACTTATTAGGCCAATGAACTGGGATGTCCCATGAAACCATAGCCCTAAATCTCCAAACCAGGGAACTAAATCCCATGAGGTATTCGGTTGTACACAAGCAGGCTTAGCTACTCTTTTTTGTTGTTGTTGTAAATATATCTATCACACAACTTTTGCTAATTCAACTTTTTAAAAGTGTACAACTTATTCACAGAAATTTTTTTTCTTTGTGGTGAAAATATACACAACAAAATTTATGATAATTTAACAATTTCTACATGTTTCATAAGGTTTTCAAGGGCTGATTTTTTGGAAGTAGATTGGCAGGCCTTTCTTCTGAGGTGCATTTGGATGGACTTGAACCATCAACCTTTCAATTAGCATACAAGCGTGTTAACTGTTTGCACCACTCAGGGACTGCAAATACCTGACAGACTGTAACTAACCTCTGCTAATCAGATACTGAATCAATATCTAATAAATCAATACACAGTCAGCTATAGGATGGAATTAAAGGGATCATAATAGGGAGAGAGAATAAAGGCTAGAATACAGGAGTCAGAAATTTGTGAGTGCAGAAAGGGCTCACCTTCAAACAGGAGAGTGAGTGTATCTGCGAAGATGACTGCAGCTCTTCGATCACTCATGTCCGTCCCCAGCACTAAGAGTAGGTTCTCCTCAGCTTTACTAGCCATCTAATAAAAGCAGAAAATCCGCATACATTTCTCAGACAAAAGGCCAACCTCACACCAGGGGTGTCTCAGTTTTCCAAAAAGGCCTCCCACTGGTTTTCTTTTTTCTATGTTTTCCTTGATGCTTGGAAGCCTGCGCAGCACAGTGGGACCTCTCTCGGGAGGCTCTGGGTTGTCTGAGCCTCAGGTAGGACAAGGAACCTGACTATGGTGGTAGCTCTTCTTCCATTCAGAGATATAATGCTTTTCTTTTCTTTGAACATACGTACTACCACTAGCCAAAGCAGAGAGTCACTACTTTAAATAATCTTCTCCAAGTATAAATTGCTACTATTAATGGTATTTGGTTGAAAAGGACAAGGAATCTGGGTATAGTGGAAGGGACATTAAAAGGCAAAACAGGATTGCCCTGTATTATGTAAAAATGTTTGCTGGGTCAAACAATGTTCCCAACCGAAAATTTATCTCATTTCCACTTTAACTACTTTTAGTCATATTTATTAAGTAATGCAGTTGGTACTTTTTAGGTTTGTAACACTTTGTGATTTTTGTACATACTGTATTTGTACAATAGAGCAACTCTTGGCTGATGGAATGAATGAATAAAATGCACAATTTTACTTAAAAAGAATTAAAAAGCAGAAGCTGTTTCTGGGTCCCAGGTGGCGGAATACTGATTAAAAAAAGTACTATAAAGTAGTTGTATTTAATTTTAATTAATGAATTTTTTAGAATGGGTAAAAACACACACATTTAAACATTCAAAAGAAACAAACGAGTATTCAGTGAAAAGTGATTCTTCTTCTTACCTATGTCTCTTGATTTCCTAATTCTGCTCTTCAGAGACAACTACTATTAACCCTTCCAAAAATATCCTACACTTATACAAACATATATCTTTATTGGCATCCTCCCTCATTTTAAACAGAAATGACAGCACACCGTTTTTTACCTTGTCTATTTAACTTAACTAACAACATCACGTTGGAGAGTAAAATTTGTCAGCATGCATTTTTTTCTAATGGCAGAAAAGTGTTTCATTATAGAGAACTAGAGGAGGGGGCAAGATGCACCCTGATACATAGTTAAAAAACAAACAACCCTATGCATACATGCCTGCTGGGATTTACTTCTCTCCAGCTAAAGGGAAGGAGGCCAAATAACTAATGGTTAAGTGCTCAGCTGCTAACTGAAAGATTGGCAGTTCAAACCTACCCAACAGCTCTGTGGGAGAAAGACCGGTTGATCTGCTCCTGTAAAGATTACAGACTAGGAAACTCTATGGGGCAGTTCTACTCTGTCACATGAGGTCACCATGAGTTGAAATCAACTTGAGGGCACGTAACAACAACAACTAAGGGGAGGGGGGGCTCACTTGAGTCTTTAATTGAAGTTTGTTTCTCCCTCTCCACTCCCCGGGATTTAACCTTAAGTGACCTCATCTGCTTCAACTCAATGTAGCTTATTTTGAGACTGAGGCCTGGTTATAAAGCCTTAAAACTATTAACCAAGAACTCAAATTGCTCTTAAAAGAAGCTGAGTCCTGACTGATGGCTTACAAAGGAATATTCCACTTATCAGAGAACTTGCATTTTAATTTTCCTACACTTCACCTGGTGAGTTGAAAATAAATGTGCATCATCAGATGTCTAGGTAGTGCCTGGCACTCAGTAGACTGGCAGTAAACAAGCATGGAATGGTTCCATCCAGTTCTGCCAGGCTATAGCAAAAGCAGAAAGGGGAGTTATATCCAGGAGAGAGAAAGCATCCACAGAAGCTGGATCTATCCAGTGCCCCAATCTGCAGGCAGAGAACTACACCATTATCCTGCCAAGTAATCAGGATCCATACCTGCTTGCAAAGGTATTCTGAGAACTTGCTTAATCCCTCTTCATGCAAACCCAGTAGTGGGAAGATCTTGAAGAAGCGCTCCACCTGGGGCAGATCTCCTTCTTTGGTGGCAATAGCAAACTTCTCTGTTACAATGGCTTTGAGACGCTGCTCAGCTTCCTGCAGTAATTTCAGGTTGGCATCAATCATGCTGCCTGTTCAAAGGGGAGAAAATGAGAATTAATGTCAAGAATGCTAGTATGTCAGGTCCATGCCACTTAGTCTGTGCACTACTATTCATTCAATAAATATGTATTAAGCACCTACTATGTGTTAAGATACTACGCTAGCTAATATGGGTGATTAAAAGATGAATTCACCATGACCCTATTTATCATAGAAATTACAATCAAGTAAAAGAGACAAAGTTTGTGCACAAATAACTATAATAAAATTTAGTGTATGATAAGTGCCATAAGAAAGGTGCCAAAAAGTCACATTTATGGTTGGAAGGAATCAGAAAAGTCCTCCTAGAGAAGGTGACATACATCTCTCAAAGATGGACAGGATTTTCTTTAAGAGTTTTGGCATCTGAATAGGAAGGACATACATTCCAGGCAAAGGGAATGAAATGAGGAAAAGAATAGAAATGGAAAGATGAAAAGACTATTTGCAGGTACTGCAAGTAGTCTATGCCCTGATATATAGAAGAGTTCCACAAATATTTGAACAATGAACAATGAATGAATGCATGAATGAATCACATGAAATAAGACTAGAAAGACAGAATGAGTCAAGATCATGGAGAACCTAGAATATCAGGTAAGAATTTCATTTTTTAAGTAGGCAATATGATCAAGTGGAAAGAACCCTCTGGTCAGAGAATCAGTAGATCTGGACTCAGTTTCCCTTTCCATAAAACAGGAATAACAACATCTGTCCTGGGATAGTATAGGACCTATATAGGGCCTACTACCAGACAATGCAGCCCTGGTGGTACAGTGGTTAAGAGCTCGGCTGCTAGCGAAAATGCCAGCAGTTCGAATCCACCAGCTGCTCCTTGGAAACCCTATGGGGCAGTTCTACTCTGTCCCATAGGGTTGCATTGAGTCAGAGTCACCTCAATGGCAACGGGTACTAGACAAGGAAGCTTCCTAACAATGGATCCCTTTTTCCTGGTTGTTTGCTTTGTTCAGATTATAGATGCTTGTAACCAGACTAGAAATCAATAGTTTGGGATGCCCACCTTCTTTGCCCTGTCGGCTGAGCTCAATGACTGACTTGTCCAGGCATAAGTAGCGATGAATGTGGGCTGCAGCCTGCTCATAATCTTCATTTCTCAAAGCAGTCTGAACCCCATCCATGCAGAACTTCAGGTCCAAGATGTCATCAGCTCTCTGGATGGCCTGATAGAGGCGATTCTGCAAAAGACTTACTGTTAAGAAACAATCCTATTCTTACAAAACACCTCTCCAGAACTTAGGAAGATTCAAGAGCTGAATCCAGTTAACCATAGCTCCTTTTCAGCTTTCACTGGTGAGCTCACAAGCACCATCACTACCACTCACAAACTGTTATTGATGATGATCAAGAACACTGACAGGTATCACACAATTCTATTCATGTGGTCAAATGATTTATTTTAATGGAAGCAGGAACAGGAATAATCCATATTTAAATCTGGCATACTCTGTTACATTTATAATAGAACCAGAATGTATTTGATATTTTGGGAACAAGACATGTTAAAGTTTAGTAATAAAGTAAATAGAACATGTAAAGAGTATTTTCTTTTAGCACAAACAACCATGATAAAAAAACAACAACAGTAAGTGAGTTGGTGGCCGTGTGGCTATGGTGTTTTGTGATGAAGTCATTTTTGCAGAGTCTGAACAAGTTAGGAAGAGTTGTGCTATTTCATAGGAGCAAACTGAGGCTAGGACTGACTTGCTAAAGAGCCCAGACCTTGTGCTATCCAATATGTTAGCCATTATCCACATCTACATGTGGCTATTGAGCACCTGAAACGTGGCTAGTCCAAACTGAGATGTGCTATAGGTGTAAAATACCCATTTGATTTCAAAGACTCAGTACAAAAAAAAAAAAAGTAAAATATCTCATTGTTTTATAGTTATTACATGTTGAAATGGCATTTTACATATAAGTTAATACATTATTAAGAGTTAATTTCATCTATTTCTTTTTACTTTTTAAAAATGGTTACTAGAAAGCTTCAAATTACATATGTGAATCTTCTTTTCCAAACTGAATGATCTGAATAAATGTAACAATATATGCCAAATATAAATATGGATTATTTCTATTCCTGCTTCTGTTAAAATAAATCATTTGGCCATATAAATATTATTTGCCTATTTGCCCTAGCTAGGACCTCCAGTACAAATTCCAATAGAAGCAGGGAGAGCAGACATCCTTGTCTTCTTCCTGATCTTAGGGGAAGGCATTCAGTCTTTCAAAATTAAGTATGATGCTAGCTGTGGGTTTTTCATAGATACCCTTTCTAATGGTTGAGGAGGGTTCCTTCTATTTCTAGTCTGTCGAATGTTTTTATCATGAAGGGTGCTGAATTACGTCAAATGCTTTCTCTGCATTTACTCAGATGATCATGCAATTTTTACCCCTTATTCTATCAGTATGGTATATTACATTAACAGATTTTTAAACCAACTTTGCACTCCTGGGATAAATTTCACTTGGTCATGGTGTATAGTCCTTTTTTTATGTTGCTGGATTTGGTTTGCTAATATTTTACTGAGGATTGTTGTGTTTATATTCATAGATATTAGTCTAGAATTTTCTTGTGATGCCTTTGTCATCTCACACTTGATTTCTATTGGATGGTGCTGTTCTAATTCTACTGTCCTCTACTAACTTAAACATAAAAAGCTCCATGAGGGAGTCCCTGGGTAGTACAAATACTTTTCCTGCTCAGCTGCTAACAAAAAGGTTGGAGGTTCAAGTCCACCCAGAGGCATCTGAGAAGAAAGGCCTGGAGACCTACTTCCAAAAATTAGCCATTAGAGGGGGGATGGAAAAAAAGCTTAGTGGGATTACCTTGGCCAGGTCAAGCTGACGGACTTTGCTAGATACATTCTCGGCTAAGTTGCAGGTAAAGGTGATCATTCCAGCCAGTTGCTTTGCATCTCCCTCAATCAATTGCAGGTTGGGACTGGAGACGTACATTGTCACCACACACATATCCATAGGGGCACAGGGTGGGAATAAGAGAAGGAAAATTTTATTTTGCAGATGGAGACTATGTCTTCTTCTTCTTTTGTACCTCCACACAACCCGTAGCTGAGTTTGCTCTACACACAGCTTTTTTTTTAAGACTGTTTTACTGTAAACTCAAACCTATACTTAACAGAAATTTAATTTCTGTAACCACTAAAGATACTTCTAATAGGTACAAAGAACCAGACAACTGAGTCTCCTAACTGTTAAGTGACCAAAAAATGCATTAACCAACAATCTGAGAGGATGATGAGATCAAAGAGCAAGTTTTATGACTAGCAAATACATAGTCTGTAAAAAGAGTGATTCTCAAACTTCAGCTGTGTATCTAAAGCACCTGGCTGGCTTGTTAAAACACAGATTCCTAGGACCCACCCCAACCAACAGTTTCCAATTCAGCAGGTTTGGATTTGGGCCCTAGAATTTGCATTTCTAACAAGTTTCCAAGTGATGTTGATGCTGCTGGTGGAGGAGCACACTTTGAGAACCACTGAACCCTTCAGTATTCACTTTACCTTGATGTTACGTTCCTCTACATTTCAAGTGGCAATTTATAACAGAAAGTTAGGAAAAATTGCACCTTATTCAGTGGACCCTGCAGGAATTTACACAGCTCCTGCTGAGATGCACAGACTCACCCCATTCGGTGGAGACTGATCATCTTACTTTCAATGGTGTTTTGCTGTTCCAAAAGGGCATCCAGCTCTCTCTCCACCACTTTCTGAAACACAGAGAATTATCTCGTCATTAGAACGGTCAGAGGAACCTTAAGAATTACCTAACCCAACCACTTCGCTGGAGTGTGAATCCCATTTCAAATTTCTTTCCTTCTACTAGGATTGTAACAAACAACTCCATTTTTGCACTTATCAAATTGAATAATTATTTTATGTGTATCTTATTACATCTACATTAGCACCACAAAAGAAGAAAATGAGCCTTTATTCAGTGTCATTAGCATAGTGCCTAACATGAATGCATTTAAAACCATAATGGCTAAACAAAAGAAACTTCCGAAGTGGCAATCCAATTCCATCTTAGCCAAGCCATTTACTGTGTTATCAAACAATTTCTGTAAACTCCTAGTTTTTTCATCTGTAAAATAGGGATATTAATACCTACCCCATAGGATTACTGAACTAGTCGAACAGGATAACACACATGAAGTCATAAAGTGCTTAATATAGCATGTGGTGTGTGGTAGGTTTTCAATAAGTTGGCCATTAATATTAGCTATTCATTTTCATTAAAATAGTCCTCTAGAATCCAGACGGAAACTTCCCCCTTACAGTCATTACCACAAATACTGTTCTTTCTGTAAGATCTCTTTAATTTTTCCCTAAAGTACTGATTGACTCAATGGGAGTTTAGGAGTGTTAGGTCAAGAACATTCAATTTTAAAAAGTATAACTTGTTGAAAAATCAGAACTGCAAGTTGGTGCAATTTAGTGTCAGTGCTAACTAGGTGGTGCAAGTTAGTATTCGAAAATCTTCAAAGATATATCAGTGATCCTATCCCCCCACCCCCAAACTGCCTTTTGTACTCAACCCTACTTGAAAAATTGGCTTAGGGAACGGCTGACAGATCTCTTAGATCAGAGTTTAGACCTTTCTTCTGACTGGCAAGGAACCCCAACATAGACATTGGAAAGAGAACTGACAGCATGAGGTTGCAATGGAAAAGTGGAGGCAGAAAGGAGATAGGAAATTACGAGTTGAAAGGACCCTTGGAATCTAGTCCACTTCCCTCAATTGACACAACGTCAGGGGGATTGACAGAGGTCCAAAAGATGAAGTTACTTATCCAAGATTAGACAGTTGTGCCTGGGTCTTAAAGCTCAAGTTTCTACAAAGTTGTTCACTTAACTGAAATGCTAAAATTACACCCCGAAATCACTCTTTACAAAAGGAAGTCTTAAAACAGTTCAAGAAATTTATTTGCAATGACTTCCCGCTTAAATGGGATAAAGGGGGTAAAAACGTTTTGCAATTTTTAAATTGCTAACTCAGGGCAAAAGAGCCTTTATTCTTATTCTGTGAACCAAACGAGTTAGCATATATTCTCAGTCTAACTTTACTCCGGTGGAGAAATCGAGTACCTATGGGCCAGGGAAACTAATCGCGGGTGGGGTGGGGGTGAAAGTCTCCAGATGGCGTAGGTATCAGGGGAAATCAGCTTGCGGGCCTCCGACCGAGTGAAAAAAAATGACACGTCTCCCCAGTTACCCAACTACACTACCGCTTCTCGGGTAAGTGCGTCCCACAGCCCGGATTTCCCAGACTGACGGCTCCTACGCCCACTGGCCCTCATCCTCCTGGAAAAAGAGGCGGCTCAGCCCCCCACCTCTTCGCCGCAGAGCCGTCCGTACACAGCCTCCAGCTCCTGCAGCTCTGTCAGGGAGCGAATGAGCTCGGTGGAGATTTCCGAGCAGCGGCTTCCTCCCACCCCCTCAGGCGGTGGAGGCGCCCCTGACAGCTTCTGAGGGGACTCGAGATCCGCCATCTTGGTCCCAATTCGTTGCTTCCGGTTCTTCGAGGCCCCCTCCTCCTTGGCGCGCCAGGTCTTTGGGCTGCCCGCGTAAGTGCCCGAAGAATTTATTTATTTACTTTAAAATATACATGTATATATCTTAAAGTTTACTTCTTAAAAGTATGTTGCTTTTCTATTCTATAAGAAGTAACAGCCATAAACTGTTCACACAGTTTTTAGTGCGGTATGGAAACAAGACAAAAACATTTAATAAAATTATATATATTTTTCAGGCGCGGGTTGGGGACCTTTTCCCGCCGCGCGCAACCGGAAGGTTTCTGTTTTGAGAGCTAACGGGGAACGCGGGCGCGCTGGTGTTGGTTGTGGCTTAGGCCTCGAAAGGACTCACCATCCGTCTGCTATCTACGCCATCCTTACCGCTGCAGGATAAAAAAAAGGCCTCGTGACTTCCCCGGGCCCGGTGAGCCGGAGGGCGGCCATGTGGGAGGGTAGGGCGAACCTTTGGTGGGGGTCTGAAGTAACGTAGGCCGTAGAGGTCCGGGCAGGGGGCGATGTGGGGAACACATGGGGCGCGAACCTGGAACCCTTTCCTGCTGCCGTCTATAGGCTTGAAACGAGTCCTGCTTCGAAATAACTCGTTTAGAGATACCTCGCTTTTAGGCATTGCGACTTTGGAGACAGGAGAGGTGGGCGGTAGCGAGGTCTTCCGTGGAAAGTGAACAACGGAAAGGTATTAAGACGCTACGTGTTAAAAGCGTAAATAACGGAAACTTACTGGAGTCAAGACGTTGGTTTGAATTTCCGCTTTGGAAATTCAACTTCGGATAACTTGTTTTCTCTTGTGAGCTTCAGTTGTCTCATTTCCAAAACGGGGAAGAATAATCTCTGGAGATGATTCTGTCTTGGCACATGGAGAAGGTGTAGAGCGAGCTCTTTTTCTAGACAGGAGATAAAACAGAAGTAGAGGAAGTCACAGAGTTTACCAAGTTTCGGCTGTAATGATGCCCTCGTGGCGCTGTGGTTAAGAGCTCGGCTGTCAACCAAAAGGTCGGCAGTTGGAATCCACCAGCCACTCCTTGGAAACCCGATGGGGTAGTTCTACTCTGCCCTATAGGATTGCTATGAGTCGGAATCGACTCGACGGCAGCGGGTTTGGCTGTTAATGGTTCTTGGTCCAGTAGTTTCTGTGGTTCTAGGTTTATTTTCCTCCAAAACGTACCTTTCTCCATTTCCTAGAGAGTAGCAGGGGAACTTGGATACAACTAGGTTTGGGGTTGTAATTAATGGCATCAGTTATGAAAAAATGAGAAAGTAGGTCGAGTTCTTCGGATCCGCTACGAAGAATGAAAGTACCCTGTTTGGGACTTCAGCAATGGCCCATAATTACCTCAATTTTTATTGGCAGTTGTTTACCAAATCTCTTCTCTTTCCACATTGGACCTTCTACTTTGTTTTCGCGGTGATTCTAGAAGAACATTTAAAGATGTTCCTTAGTGTCAAGTAGAAAAATTTTGTATATCAGGGCCCACTTCCCACTCTTCCTCTCACAGTCAGCTGCTTTTGCCCAGCTAAGAAATGATTACGAAGACATTAACTCATAACTCTCTTTTCTGATTTAACAACAGAGTCAAATTCATATGTTAATTACACACCAATTTGCGTTTCTCAAGTTCCCCTTTGTTTCTAAATAGGTGCATTGAGGAAAAATAGTCTATTTCTTAGCTGTAATTGTGTATAGAGGCACCTCAGTTTATGTAGTGTTCAGTCTTTTCTGTGATCGCATTTGTAAACTAAAAATGAAAAAGCCCTTTGTTTATTGCTGTCTCCGGGATAGGTAAAATAATAAAAAAGTGCAGGATGGTGTGATGGTGTATAGTACCCAACCTTTGATTCAAGGAGAATAAAATGCAGTGTAAATGGATGTTTTTGTTTCCATATACATCTGGAAGGCTATGCTGTAGCATGATGAAATTGATTCCCCTAGAGGGGAGAACTGGGTTGGAGGAAGCTTTTTGTTGTACTTGTGAATTCAAACCATGTGAATGTGTAATTTATTCAAATACAAAGATAGAGATCTAGCATCTGTGACAAAAGGCAAATAGGCAGTACACATGCCAGCTGCCGACATTCCCATTACTTGTTATGAGACCCTGGGCAAGTGATTTAATTTCTGAGCTTTAGTTTCCTTGTCTATAAAATGGATGTAATACCACACACTTTAAATGCTTCTTGTGAGATTAGAGACAAAGTTTATAGCATAGTGCTTGTCTTAGTCATCTAGTGCTGCTGTCACAGAAATACCACAAGTGGATGGCTTTAACAAAGAGAGATGTATTTTCTCACTGTCTAGTAAGCTAGAAGTCCAAATTCTGGGCATCACCTCCAGGGGAAGGCTTTCTGTTGACCTTCTCATGAATCTTCCCTTGGTCTGGGAGCATCTCAGCACAGGAACCTTAGGTCCAAAGGATGCGCTCTGCTCCCGGTGCTGCTTTCTTGATGGTATGAGGTCCCCCACTCTTTGCTTGCTTCCCTTTCCTTTTATCTCTTGTAAGATAAAAGGTGGAACAGGTCACACCCCAGGGATAAGAGATGTGACCTTAGTAACAATCCCACCCTAATCCTCTTTAACATAAAATTACGGGCACAAAATGGAGGACAGCCACACAATACTGGGAATCATGGCCTAGCCAGATTGAAAACACATTTTTTGGGGGACATGATTCATTGTTCCGCAGTAGGCCTTACTGGTTCTGCTGCCTTCAGCCAGAAGTTAGTAGGCCTTACTGGTTCTGCTGCCTTCAGCCAGAAGTTTCCATACAGAAGTGTCTGTTAAAATAACAATTTCCTAGCTGATATTTTTTTGCTTTCATATGCCCTTAGCTTGCTTTGACTCAGAACTGTTGGTATAACTAAGGCCTGGATTGTGGACTAAGGTGGCTCAGTTTTGCTGCCACTACCACCATGTTCCTGTATAACTTGACCTTGCAGCGAGCCACTGGCATCAGCTTTGCCATTCATGGCAACTTCTCTGGTAAGTTCTCTAGTTACTGTCTTTCTGAATTGAAGTGAAGTAGTACATATTTTGCTTATTTCTTATGGAGGAAATTTTTTTCCATTATGAGACTAACTGAAAACAATAGTTGGTAAATGTGAATGAACCAAATACAGCTTGTCAGCTATGAGATTTGGTGTGAAATTGAGGAGCACTATCTGTTACTTAATATCAGATACAGTTCCTAGTCTATAAGTGTAATTTTATCAGGGATGTGTATTTCTTGACACCTATTTTGTGCCAGGTTGTAAGCTTGTTGCTGTGAGACATAAAGAAATTTATAAGACATGATCCTTGATCTTGAATTTGACATCAGGTTGGATAGAAAGAGTGTCTAAAGGTATTTGTCAAGCTATAAAGAGTAATTTTAAAGAAGGAAGAGTGAACTTTGGCTTAGTGCTTGAAGGGAGAATAGGACTTTTATTAGGAGAGAAAATGGAAAGTGAAGTTTAGGTAGGAGGTGCAGCTTAGAAGCAGGAGATCATTTGCTAATGTTTGTTCACCTCCTACTTTGTGCCATGTGTGATGAGCTGGAACAGTGGGGGATATGTTTGGAAAGATGAATTAAGGTCAGGTTGTGGGAAATTTCAAATATCAGATTAAGAAAAGAAACTTTAGACAGTAGAGAATTATAGAAAATGGGAGCCCTGGTGGTGCAGTGGTTAAGCGTTAGACTGCTAACCAAAAGGTCAGCAGTTCAAATCCACCAGCTGCTCCTTGGAAACCTATGGAGCGCTTCTACCCTGTCTTACAGTGTCGCTATCGGCAGTGGGTTGGGATGTGCGTAAAATACCCTTTTACTGTTTGTAGATTAAGTATTTGTGAATGAAGTTAATCCGAGATAACGCAGAAGGTCTGTGATTATAATTATAGAGTGTTACATAATTTTGCTGAGGTTCAAATCTGAATACCTGTTGCATGGTAAGTGAGCAGGAGCTTAGCTGTCTGACCATATGCATTATTTTCTTTGATCATCATTATGACCTTTTTTAAAGATTTGAAAGGTTCGCTTGGATAATTTATTTATTCCTTTCTACATTTTATGATGGAAATTATATACGGTTTTGGTATATATGAATTTGGGTGTATAATGCAGTGATTCTCAGCTGGGGTTTGAATAGGAGAATTTTTGAAAAAGCATTTTTAATACTAATTTTATGCTTCAAAACCGAACTTTACCCCTCTAAAACAAACTATCGAAAGATATATTTGCACCATTGAGAGAACGTTGTCATTTAGATAATGCTTTACAATTTTCAAAGCACTTTGGAGTACTTGATTTTATCTGGATCCCAGAGGACATTTAGAAAGTAAGGTGGCAGGATAAATGGTGGGATTTTATAAATGAGAATGGATTGGGATGAGTAGGATAGTCAGATAGTACTCTAGTCTGGCATTAGATAGTGAAGACCTGGATTAGGGTAGTGGAATAGAAAGAAAGTGAAAGGAGTTTCTAGCCTGGGTGGCAGAGAAGATGGAGGTGGGGTAATCACTTTAAACATTTAGTTTAAAGTTAGTAATAGTTCATCTAGGTGGTATTATGTAGCAGGTAGGGAAAGATGGGGACAAAATAGGCTCTTAGGCATTTGAAGGTGTTGGTTGCAGTTAGGAAAGCGAATGAATTTTTTTTTTTTTTTTTGACATGGAGCAGCATATTTATTTTTTTCTTTTATTTTCTTTAAAATTTAATATTTAAAAGTAAAAGATAAAGATTTAGTGACTCTTAAGTTCTTGGTCATTATGTTCTTATACATGCTAGTTTTGCTAATTCTGTCTTACACACTTTACCCATTCCTCACCCTCTCTGCCCAACATCTTTAAAAGAATTTTTTCTATTCTGTTTTTTCCCCTCTATTCTTTGGGCAACTTCATTTCCTAAATTACTTTAGTTGCTTTCTGTCCTCTTCCATTGTAGCACATGTATTGAGGCATGGTGACCAGAATTTCATGTTATTTTTGTCAGGGGTGTTCAGCATCATTCAGACCTCCTTTTGGGATTCAGAAACTATAAAACCTGAAAAGTATGTTTCTCATACTCCTTTGCAGCTAGGGTTCTGAATGTTATTTTGTTTCTGCCACAGGTACACTCATGTGAGATTTGGAAGGTGGAAGTGAGTTTGAGTTTGTTCTGTTAATGTTTTTACTGCTAGGATTGTGGCTATAATTTGGATTTCATTGTTGTCGTTCAGTGTTCTGGAGTAGAAGATGCTTTCAGATTCACCGTGCAGCTTCCTTATTGGTTGTAGGACAAGCAGTAGTTCCTTTGGTGGCCCAGTTCTGTTGTATTTAGTTGCTCCTTGTCTTAGTCATCTAGTGCTGCCATAACAGAAATACCGCAAGTGGATGGTTTTAACGAAGAGAAGTTTATTTCCTTACAGTAAAATAGGCTAAAAGTCCAGA